AGGCGCCAAAATTACGATCTGTGAAAGAATGGGTCTGCACTCAATACGGGCTGTGACGTATGTGTGTGGGGGAAGTCGAATTCTTGACCATAGATGGCGCCACTAAAAATAAGAGGAAACTCACCTTCTTCGCCTTAATGACATACAACAACCCGGGATCTTATTTTCTCTGGACCAGCTGTTTCTAGATAAGGTTCGAGATTCCGGGACATTTATTTATCTAGTTTTTTCTCTAACATTTTTTACATCGGTTATTATATCTATATACAATCAATAATCCATTTATTTCTAATACTTCAGTTGCCTTTATGAAATTACATTAAGAAAAAGACATTCAGAAATTTAAGTAAAAATGTTTTTTTTTTTTTTTTTTTTTTTTTTTTTTTTTTTTNTTTTTTTTTTTTTTTTTTTATTAGTTTTTTTCTAAATATTTATTCCTTTAATTTGTTTCTAGCTAAAATTGAAAATGTGTTTCTTGAAACTGAAAAATAAGTTATGCAGTATTTAAATTTTTAAAAAAATGCTTTCCTTTTTTTTAATAATTATTGAGCGTTCCAGTTGAGTGTGTTTGTAGACCATTGACTTCCCTCACGAAATCTATCTATTAGTCTTGATCAAAATGTGATTGCGAATTTTAACAGATTAAGCGTTCCGTGATATCGCAAGTATATATTGGAAATGATACTTCTTTTGTTTACTCGTTTTTCTGCGTCATCTTTTCTCGATCCAGAATAATACTACGCCATTACATACTAAAAAGAAGAAAAAACATTTCAAATAATAACAGTGAAAAAAAGAACCAGTTTATTTATTACGCCGCATTAAATAATCTGTATGGAAATCAGTGGGAAGTTATACAGAACTTAATTAAAGATCCCGTTATATCCAAGAAGAAGAAAAAACTGATAACACCTGAATGACTCCTATCTTTGTTTTATTTCTTTGAGAAACTAGGGTGACCCTCCGGAATATGAACTAATTTGTCCTCTCCACAAACTTCTGTTTGTCAGTGAAGAACTGGAAAAAGAAACACAACCTTCGCCGTGAGTCTTGTTCTATTCTTTTGGGACAGGGTGCGGCCAAGGTCATGTTGCAGCTGCGTCATGCAGGTGATCGTCCGCGCCGCGCGCTATTTTCTACTTTTTGGCGAACATTATTACTCTTTCGTGTTAGTAACAGGCTTATCAAATTTTAAATATCGTCTGCTGAAAAATGAACAATTGAAATTATTAATTTTGCAACGACTTTTTTCGTTATAGATTTTAAAGTTTTATAGTAGTGTGTTGCTTATGAACAATTTGTAATAGCTAATTTAATAGCTGTTAAATCGTTTTATTAATTATAAACTTTTTTTTACTTATTTACGTAGTTTTGAATTTTGATTATCGTCTGCTGAGAAATGAACAATTGGGTATAATATAAAAAAAACACAACTACTTCCACTTAGTAGGAATAACATTTACCATGACGCAATGCTAAATTCTATGCCACTATCCACATAAATCAATTATTAATCAAAAATCGAATATCAATTACTTTTCTTTATAATGCAATAAAATCTGGCGAGCAGCTATTTAAACGATCAAACACTTCGTTTGTTTATTAGTGGCTTGAAGTTAGGCTCGCAGAAAATGCCGTTCATGGGTTAAATTTAGTAGGAATAACACAACTTGTGACGTAGGCAATAGTATACCCAATTGAGATTATTAATTTGACAGCGACTTTTTTCGTTATAGATTTTTTTTGTCGTCTGAAATAAAAGTTTTATAGTAGTGTGTTGCTTATGAACAATTTATAATTGCTAATTTAATAGCTGATAAATCATTTTATTAATTTTAAACTTTTTTTACTTATTTATGTAGTTTTTGTATTTTATGTAGACCAAATTCGGAGTAGTTGACAACGGAAATAATTTGCTATGAATTGTATTATAAGTAGTAGGTCCAGTTTGGATATCTGAAGTTAGTCCTCTTCACCGCCATCTTGAATTTACTGGTAGGATAGTGGGTTCTAAATGAGGTGAAACTTAAGCTTGTCATCTTGACAAGTAAAATATGTAAAAAGGAAAAAAGGTGATGGGTATCCGTAGATTTATGCAAAGTCAACTTGAATGATGTACAGAAATGGACATTCTAACTTAATTCGTATAGGTATTTTTTAAAACTCTTTTCTTTTTCCAATAGAGAACGTAGAAATAACAGTTTCTGTGAACTATGTTTATATAATATAAAAATCGAACAAATATTAAGTTTAATTTAATGTGTTTAACTTTTTTTTAAACACAAATACGGGGCCTACTCAATTTTAGTTTTTTTTTTTTATAAGAACGAAGAAAGTTAAGGAGTAGCATCAAAAACTAAGGCATTCCTTCATATTTATATTTTTCGCCATTTTTATAATTAGCGTAAAGGTTATACACCTGTCATAAACTCACCAACAGTTTAAAAACTAAAAAGTTACATACGCAAAAAAAGTGTTCATTCAGGTAAGCGTGAAGAGGAGCACCGAAAAAAAATCACCTCGTTGATGATTATACTAATTTAATCCGATTTTAAGTGTTTATTCAAATGAAATATGATATTTTTTAAAGAAATTTAGGATTAACTTAAAATTTACGGAAAGATTTTCCCCCACTCTATACTCGTACTACTTAACAAAATGTTTGCTTTTCTTAAGCTCTAAAATTGCTCTAAATTTCGATAATTACACTTATTGCATTGTGATTTATTAATAATGCGCAAGTTTTTTTTTTTAAAAATTGTGTTATTAATTGTTAAAGATCCTGAAATATTTTCGTTTTAATTTTTTTTTTTTTTTTTTTTTTTTTTTTTTTTTTTTTTNTTTTTTTTTTTTTTTTTTTTTTTTTTTTTTTGTTGAAAGTACGTGTTCGAATTATTATTTTTTTTTTTTGAAAGTACGTGTGAATTCGAAAGTACTTGTTCGAATTATTTCGAAGAGAAAGTACGTGTTCGAATACTAATTTTTTTTTTTTTTTTTTTAGTTTTTANTATAGCTTAGTAACATAAAATTCGGAAAGTTAAATTTATGTAGTTAATGAGGTGCTTTTTTTCCCGTTATTCTTTATCTCATATGACAGAAGTCTTCGAATAACAGCCTCTATGTGGCTGTTTCTGCCAATTTTTTTTTTCTTTCTTTTTTTTAAAGGTGACACTAAAGCGAACGATGTGAAATTTCAAATTGCGTCAGTTTCTTGTTAGTTGAATGGCCTGGAAGCATGAATGATGTATTTTTTTCCCCCTTCTACTATGTTGCTGAAAACGCATTGAAACGGATGATACATTTTAAACTTTCCATTCTAAATGAGGCGAGACCACGTTGTATAATGGCTACCGAAAATACTCGTTCCGTGTCACTCATTTTCCAAAAAGGAAAAAATTTAACTGTATTTCCGTGTGTAAATATATCTCAGAAGTTTTTTTTTTTATACGCATTGTCAGTTACATTGTCGACTTCGATAAATAACGGCTATTTATGTCTTTCAGTCTGTTGTTGAAATGTTTGTAAATAAAGTTGGTTGATTAAACTTAAGTTGATTTGTTTGTTTCTTCAGGGGAAAAGAAAATACTAACTTAATTTGTGTTGTTTAAATAACTTTCATACCGGTCATGTAAATAGTTCTTAGAAAAGAAGAGATTTTTTTTTTCTAAATGTATGCTTGTTAAGAAAATGAGATTTTTTTTTTAAGACTAGGTGAACTACTAATTAGTTTTTTTTTTCTTTTTTAAAAAAAAAAAATTTAAATAATTTAATTGGTGAGGAAAAAATTTTCCCCTTACTTTTCAACTGTGACTCTTCCCGAATAATTGTAACTGTTTAAATAAATAAATAAAAAAATTTCTTTACTAGAGCAGAAACACACCATCGTCTGATAATCAAATGGCCATCTATTTATGTGTATAATTTATTTGTATATTGTAAGTGGTGGTTAAAATGATTTTAAATTGTATTTATAAATTCTGTGAATTCAATAGAAATGCATACATTATGCTTCATCCTCAAATTTAAAAATAAAATCTTGAAAATACGTAGAATTTGACAGCTTCCCGTTCCTCTTTTTCCACACAACCCCAGCTCAACTTACAGCTTGAGACAGGAGGATTTTTTAGGAGAAATTATGAAATAGTAAAAAACATACTTGAAGCTTTTAATTTTGTCATTATGTCCTAAATCTAATTCTGACAACAGTCGGACCTCTATTTAACAAAGCCGCTAAGTCCCGATAATAAGTTCGTTATATGGAAAATCTCCTTTTGAAATACTTAAATAACACAAAACAGGTTTTAAATTCATGAGCACTAGACATAATTAAAATAGCAATTGATACACCTTTATCTTGTAAACTAGTATTTACTATTAATTTTATTAATCTTAACCATTAAAGAAATCTGCGTGGATAGCAAGAATAGAGCAAAACATTATCCAGTTTTATACTATTATGCTACATATATTTTCAACAAAAATAAGACCAAATTTATGTATAAAATAATAGCTGCATTTATTATGAAAGTAATTGTAAGCATACATTATTACCTCACGCTTTCTTAAGTTAAATTACTACTGATGAAATTTGTTAATTTTGTCCGAGTTCTTCGTTTGAGGTGCGAACAAAAAGGGAAAGGGGTTTTACTGCTTACTCTAAAAGTTAAGTGGCTTCGAAAGTCAATTCAAGCTCATTTCCCCCACAAGATGCGTTGACAAGTTTGAAATGTTCCATAATGTTTTGGAAATAAGGAAAGTGGATCTCAACGAAAAGTTCGTTAAATTGGAAATTCACTTCGCTACTGCGAAGTTATTTTACGAGAAAATTTCCAAAATGTTCTTGGTTTCTTGGAAAAAATCACTAAATAGAAGTCTGACTGTAGTTCTCTTGTAAACATTTCATAAATACCAAATTTTAAATTCGCATTTGTAATATTTGTGATTTGTAAATATATATTTTTTTCATTCCATTTACACTGTTTTAAAATGATTCTTTGCAGGTGAGCGACCTTTCATGTGCAATTGGATGCAATGTGGCAAAAGGTTTGCTCGCTCCGATGAACTGGCTCGTCACATGCGCACCCATACAGGTGAAAAGAAGTTTTTCTGCCCTCTCTGTGATGCCAGATTTATGAGAAGTGATCATCTCTCTAAACATGCACGACGCCATCCAGATTTTCAACCGCACATGCTGGCAAAAAAGAGAAGCAGCCATGAGTTAAAAACTTACCAAGTGACAACGGACTCAGTGAATGAAAGCTCAGGCACTTCGGAATCTTCTGAAACAATGCATTAACTTTATTGTTTCTCTTCCTTTATCAAATTGTACAAGGCCCCATTACAACTAGAGATGTACTGACTTACCATCATGAGAAAAAACCCTGCTTGGTTTCTGTCGGTCGCTATAGAAACAGGCGATTCCATTTAACGATTTATGTGGTGGGAAGCATATATTGTTTCGTTTGGCGCGATTAGGCGGAACAAAACTGTAACTGATTGAAGATTGCAAAACGAATTATTATTAATTCTTACTTTTTTTACGTCAGCCTATTCGCTCAGAATTAGAATTATATTTTCATATAATTAAATAACCAGTTTCTAAAGCGACAGACATCAACCAGTCTGATGGCTAAGGTTTTTCTCCTGGTGGTAAGTGAATTTATCATTCACCATTCTATTTTAACTAACCTGCTCAAGCTATTTGTTGATATGACAGCCTTTTTAAGTGCTATTAAACACTTGTAATCTATGATACTTGAATAACTACGGAAGTATTTTATTACAGTCATTTGTATGTATTTTATCAGTTTCCTATTAGGTAGTCCGTATTAAATTTTAATCAATTATTATTATTTTTTATTCTATTTTCTTGAAAGTATTTTATGTTTCGTAATTAACTACTTAATTTTGATGTTAATGTACATAAAAAACCTCGTTAATATTCTGTAACATTAAAAAATTTTGCCTTTTATTGTGTATTTTCTTTTCAAACTTTTTATTAAAAATGATCTAGATCATTTAACTATGCCGACCTGCTGTATGGTGGTCAGAAAAGTCCCTTGTAGCCTTTTTCCAATCAGCGTTTAACATCAGCTCCCGTGTTTAGTATTGTTTAATAGAAAGAAACTTGATTGTTGACATTTTTTAAGTTCAGGTAACAAGTTTTAAAGAAAATGAAAGCTTATAATCAGGAACAATTTCAATAAGGATTAAAATCTCCCAAAAGGAGAACGAGCCGTTAAAGGCCGCTGGATTCTAAATTAACTCCCGGGTTCGAATCCCGATCAGAGGCGTGGATGTTTTTTCCTTCTTCTTTGCATAATCTGTTGGGGGTAACGTTGGTACAGCTCTTGGCCAAAGAATACCTAAGGATACCGTGTTCTTTGTTCGCCAAGGTACAGCTAATATGGGGCCTCTGAAACATATGTGTTCTTCTGACGAGCGTCAGTTTTATGGGTCGGCTTTGGAAGAAAAAAAATCTTTTTATTTGTGTATATTGTTACTTATTAAGTGGTGAATCGTTTTTCTTGAAATAATGATTGTATGGGTGCCAAAAGTAACACTCTGCTGTGGTGTGTTAACTTACTTAATATGGTCCTCGTGTCTTTTGTTTGTAGTATATAGCTTAGCTACCGCTTTTTACACTTATGGGTTGCGATTTAATTATTGATTTTACAGTTGTAAACCAGAATTTAATTTAACTATGCAAGGACTTAATATTTTAAGGAACTTAAGACTTATATATTTATTTAAATTATTTTTATGTAGCATAGTTAAAATCATCATAAATGAAAACAACGATAAAAATATTAATGTATATATTTTGTTACCCATTTAAAAATAAAACCAGAAGATTCGACAGCTATGATATAGATAAAAGTGTATAATACCAATAGAGTAGCTCTCTGTGATCTGTTTAATTTCATTTCTATCTCACATTGCTTTTCAATCCGTCCAATTCCGCTAAGTTTTTAAAATTTAGTTAATATTTTTCAGATGCATGCTAAAAGAGAGAGAAAAAATTTTTATACGATTTTAGAAATAATATTTTCCCTTGTTTTCTCCCCTGAGAACAATTACTGCAGGTACCTTTGCTATACATTCGAGATAATAAAAAATAACTTCGTTAGGCCTACTCATGTTTCCACGAAAATTCCTTTAATCTCTAAGTCTAGGATAGTTTGTTGCCATGGAAACAGGAGTAAAACCATTTCCAATGAAAGAGAAATGAAGAAATAACTTAAGAGACCTATCACATTGCATCCGATTTACCTAGATGCGCTTGCGGATGTTTAGGAACTACATGTTAGAGCGATTGCTGGCACATGCGCGAATCGCGTTTGCTTGCGATCGAAAAAGAACATTTCGCTCCTAATCGAAGTGATTTACCTTCTATAATGCAGTAACAGCCCACACGCAAGTCTAGTGTCCGAGGAGTACTCGTGATTGTTGAGTAATATGATCCCCTCACTAGCATGTACGAAGTAAAATTTGTAAACTGTTGTTAAGAAGCATATGCTGAAGAATAGTGTTAACAATGATTCGTAGTTCTTACTGTTTCAGAATTTCGAAAATTTTTAAGTGATAACACCTACTTTTTTCCCCCATAGCAAAAGATCCCACTGACTGAAGATTCCGAACATACTTTTGAAGGAAATTATGGATCAGTTTTATTTATTATAATAAATAAATTTCAGCCATTTTTCTTCTATTAGCAAAACTCTTAAGTTGTGAACGGGCTTTTTAGAGTGGTGATGGTGTAAGAATTCTGGATGCCCTGTGCTTCTTTTCTTCCCTTTTCAAAACAAAACTAGCTTCAAACTCGAAGATTTGGGAGTGATCCTCAGACCCAAGGCAAATACTGTTTCCGAACAGCAAATGGGTGTCTTAAAGGCGCATTCCCACTGTGATTGCTCTAAACCAGCTTGCAAATTTTTAAAAAATACATGTAAGAAGAACTGCTTGTGCATATGCGAATCGCATGCTGTGAGAGTGCTCTATTTGTTTCAGTATGCAAATTTAAATAGTCAGCGTAGGGCAGTTACTAACACCAATTTTAGCAGAATAAATGATAGAATATAAAGAAAAAGTAATCACCCTGAGTGCTGTCCACATGAATCACACCATACCTACCATGTTGATATATAGATCGTTAAATACTAAGCCTTTCTATTAGCTCTTGCAGTATTTTAATTGGATTAACATTACTTGATTCGTAATGTAACATTTTTGAGGTATGCTCTGTGCTTTTCAATAGGCTTAGAACGATAATATTCGGGCGACGCTAGACAATGATGGAGAGAATAAAATGCTTTCCCCCATTGTTTTCAGTGAGCACGTTTAGTCTCTTAATGTGTTTGTAAGTCCGAAGAATGCTTTTGGCTAGTGTGAGGTCTTGGAACTATATATACTGTCGAACCCCGTTACAGTGTACTTTCTACGGCCCTAGCAATCAGTTCACTATAAACAATGGCTCACTATATCCAAATTCACTAAAAAAACTCATTTTCTTTTAGCAAACGACTTTAGGAACTGCTAGAAATCGTGATTATGATAGTACGAAATTTGTTTATAAATTATTAACTGATTAAATCGATAATAAATTAAAGAGATAACTAATTAATTTTAACGAAAGAAAAATTGTGGTTTTCGATTTCACCACTTTTCAAAATAACACTTAGTAAAGAACCCAGTATTTTCTAGTGCCCGATTTCTGCAGGAAAAAATAATTTGAATATTTGATGTTAATTAACGATTACATATGCTTTGAATATTTAACGTTAATTAATAATTAAATATGCTTTGAATATTTAAGGATTTTACTTACAAGATAAGGGTAACTGCAATTTCTTGTTCGTCAACATCGGGGGTGGAGTAAGAAGAATGTGCTGTTTAATTTCTTGTCCGGTCTAGTTTATAAGCGATCAGCATGCAAGAGTATTGATTGCAAGATTTGCTATCGCAACTTATGCATATTTTAAGTTGAGGAAGCAAAAAAGATAAAAGCTGTGGAATTGATATGAGAGGCAATTAGAATTGAAATTATTATTGTGGAATAGAAATTGTCCACTTTAAAAGAACTACCAATTTCGCGGCTGTAGCACTATAAGCATATAAAATAACGTTAGTTATACGGGGCTTCAGTGTAGAATACTGAAGAAGTTCATTACTACCGAGTGTTCTCTGTATCCCAGATTTGTTATAGCGGGATTCTTTATGGACATAATGTGCGGCCACATGGAGCTCATTTTTTCGATGCTTTTCAGGAAAGTAAAATTTCTTTTTAAATGAAGTGTCCTCTCAGTTTTCCAGACCTCAACCTCGAAAACAAGTGGAATCTCCTTATCAATAATAATTCAGATGCCTAAAAACAGCATTGCTGAACGATTGGAAGTGCTATAAGAAGTAAGGCAGGTCACACACTGAAGAAAGCAAGTGATAAGAGGCACACAGATGGCGAATTCATTTACTTTTACATTAGGATGCGCAGAGGTGATTTGCGCATGCTAATGCAAAAGTATAGAAATCTGCCTCTTAACTACCGATGGCTTCCTTAGTGTGTAGTCACCATACCCTTTTTTAACTTATATTTTCTATGCCATCTAACTCCGATGAATGTTAAACACGATCACGCGTAAATAACTGATTTTTTTTTATTATATTACCAACCTATGTGTATATCGAATTTTATTAGAATTTATCCAGTACTTCAGAACGTAATTCATCATATTTTATAACCGTCGTTGAACAGCCGACCCAATTTTGGGTTTACGGCTACTGATGTTCAACTCCGTAGCCTTGTAATTTGAACCAATCCAGAAGACAAGGAAACTCCTGGATCAGTACCCCCAGAGGTATTTATTTGTTACGGGAACATGGAGAACTTTGCGATTCGACAGATTTAACGTGCATCAGTCACCATTTACTATACGGGGAGTTTTCGGCCGGCGGGGATCGAACCCCCGACCTCTTTGACCTAATTCATCATATTTGAAAATTATTTCAATTTCAAGCACCACCCTCCGGTATAGTCTGATTGGTAGGGTACTGGATCCATGTCCAGAGTTCGTGGGTTCGATCGGCGGTCGAAGACTCCCCGTGTAGTAACTGGTGACTGATGCACGTTAAATCTGTTGAGTCGTAAAGTTCTCCATGTTCCCTTAACAAATAAATACCTCTGGGGGTACTGATCCAGGAGTTTCCTTATTTTCTGTATTGGTTCAAAATTACAGGGCTACGGAGTTGATTATTAGTAGTCGAAAACCCGAAAAATTGGGTCGGCTGTTCAACGACGTTATAAAATAAAATAAAATTTCAAGCCCCCGTGTACTTTTTCATAGTGGATTTAGCGGGAAGTACACATCGAACCACTATTCTAGTTATGCTCACTAATGTCCTCAAAACACGTGGGTAAAGTTTAAAAATAAGGTGTGAAAATTTTTTTACAATATGTGTTCTGTTTCTACTTAAAAATATTGAGAGAAAAAAAAAGTTTGAAAAAATTTATGGACGAGCACCAAGAAAAATTTCGCTTTCGCCCTGGTTTGAAAAGGTAGTCGTATATATTTGTTTATTCTAATAAGTGAAAGTGTCTTTCGAATATCAAAATCAATGCCGAATACGAATCAAAGTCAAATTCGAATATTTATATTCTGATCGACAGAATTGTCTCGTTTTTGCACAATAAATTCTATTGATGAAATATTTAAGGTACTTAAGAAAAGAAATCCTATTAATGACATTTCTGTGTGTTTTATGAAACGAGTCACCCTTTTAAAAGTAATGTTTTAACCCATTTACGGTTACAAATGGGTTAAAACATTAACATGGAAGAACAAATGCCTGTAGTTCGGATAATTGTAATACGTACTTTTAAAATTACCAAGAACAATATTCATGGTAACCGGAAAAAAAAGCCCCAAAAATAAAATTATAATGCATGGACGAGGCAGATACTATAGTAAAATCAAA